ATTTATTTATGTATACAGAACTGGGGTACATGCATGGCCAGAGGATTCACCAGAGACAGAGTGGGGAGCAGAACAGGCCAACTGATGAAGTACACTGCTGAGGGGAACAGCGGGTGGGTCAGGAGGGGAGCAGTGGGTGGGTCACGCCATGTGGGTCACCTTTGGGGTGGGGCTCGAACTCATGCTGAAGTGGCATTAGCTTCTTAGTGCTGTGCTTTAACCTGCTGTGCCACCAGGGAGGGCCCAGTCATCCTTGTTTTTACAAAGAGTGGCATTTTCGATAATGAGAACCTAGTTAGCATTTTAAACACACAAACTGCTGATTTTGATGCATGCATGTGGTCAGTGGATCACACTTTCAGAAATACTGATCTAGATCAGTAATAATTTACTGACCTGGAGTTTAGTTAATAGATTTTAATTGTATCAGGGGTTTAATGACTCATTTATAAAACTCGGAAATATCTATCAAAACTTTGTTTTATGTTACATAATGATAAATATCAAGATGAGTAAGATACAGTCTGTAGCTGTGAAAGTAGTGCTGTCTATTTGGGAAGAAAAGTGTAAACAGATAATTATACATGCTGTGGTAAGGCAGTAAACTCTGATGAGGACAAAACATCAAGTATTTACCTATCTTTACCAACCTGCCTGGGTGTTCTGGGAAAGCTTCTTGGAGGAGTTGATATCTAAATGGGTATTTGAAAGATAGGTAAGAGCTGATCGTGGTGAGAGAAAATGAACTTAATTTTTCTTTTGGGCTCCTTGTCAGTGAATGGTACCACTGTGTTTAATTTATGCATTAAAAGACCACCACAGAATTCAGTGGCTCAGAAAAAAAAGAGCAGTTATTGTTGTTCACAGGCCTACAGTTCAGGTAGGGCTGATTTGTGCATTTAGCTCAGTTATAGGCCATGCTAAGTGGTTCTGCTCCTATGTTTGGGCATTCTCTGGCAACCAGCTGTTTTTTCTCTGCCAGCCAACTGATTTAAGAGTTTTTCAAATGATCACTGTACTTGTTTCTCCTCCATGTCATCTCTTAGTAGATGTTCAGGCTTCTTCCAAGGAAAGAAGTTGCAGTGCCCAAGGTACTGCTTGGATTGAGTTTAATGCAATTGGCCATAGGTAACTAGATAGGCTTGTATTAGTAGTCTCAATTTTTACACCACCCTGGATCTACACCCTTTGACATGAGCTCTTGTAACTACTTAGGACAGGGTGGCATAAAAATTTGAAATATTAGTGCAGGTCTACCTAGTAGATTCTTCTGGAGTCATGGAATAATTCGTCTGTTTTAGCTTTCTATTCAACTCAAATTTTGTCTTCTGTGTGCCTCCAACCTTGTCTTAACCACAGTAATTTTTTGTTTGAACTACAGTGGCGTTCTGACTAGTGTCCCAGCTTTCCCTTTTGGACACCTTCATTGCAGTCTTTGCAGTCTTATGATAGTCTTCAGTTCTGTGGTTTTTATTTTTTTATATATATATTTGTTTTCTCCAATAGACTGTAAGCTCCAAGAAGGCAATACATTTCTCTTTTGGTTACAGCTTTGTTCAGAGGGCTTGACATAGTAGGAGTATACTAGTAGAGTGAATGAAGAAGAAAAGGAGGAGTTGAGATTATTCCTTTTGTGGAAAATCACGCATGAAAGGAAAGAATTAGTTGATGTATGGAGGACCTTAGAGCAAAAAATCTCCTGGGAAAGTAAAAGAGGACTAACAAAGGTAGGTGAGGGCACATTTTCTCTTTTGGATTTTATCTTGGAAATCAGTGTTTCCCATACTTTTTTCATTAGCCATTACAATAAAAAAAAAAAAGACTCAGCAGTCACAGATTTGTCAACCTTTTAATTTGTGAAGGGGAGGTGTTTCTTAAAGCTATCTGTACTTCATTAATTCTTTCATAAACAAAAGTATATTTTAACACTAAAAAAGCAGAAAATGAAATCCATACTAAAAAAGTCCTTTAAATTGGACACATTAACTTTTATTGAAGTCAGTAGATTGTCCTTTTTCCTCCATTTCACCAGTGTTGGTCTTAGATTCTGTGTTTGGGATGTATAATCTAAAGTGATGGGGTGTCATTTAAGAGTTTTAAATATAGAAGGCAAATGGGATAGATTTGGGAATGCGATAGTTGCTCTTAGATTCTGTGAAGGTTCGGAAGATGAGTTTAAAAGCTGAGAGAAATGGAAACTATTGGATAGTTAGAGGTCTCTCCAGTAGTTCACGTAAAGAATTTTCATTAAAAATTAGTCGAAGATGATGAAGAAAAGATTAGTTCTTTTAAAAACTGTCATTTGTGGCAATGGTAAGTGTAGGTTAAGTGTATTGGTCAGGCTTTTATGCCGCTAGCCTCAGTGGCGATCACCTGCAGCCTTGAATGCGGATGGGGCTTGGGAGTGTGGGGTCAGGGCACGCATGCTTGATTGTGGACACCTGAGTGTGGTGTGGGCATGCCTAAGTGTGCACACCTGAGCCTGGAGGTTGACGCTATAAGAACGGCGTCTCTCAGGGGCTGCATCACCTCTGTGAGAGAGAGAGAAGGCCAGAGGGAGCCCAAAGAGAAAAAGCATGCATTCTCCTGGAGGCTGGAGGGCCCCAGCCTTCTGAGGCCCCAGCCTTCTGCCCACCCTCTGCCCGGTTGCCCCACTGCAGTAAGGTACGATTGACAATTTGATTTCTTGTCTGCTAATCCAAGGAATTTATATTCAGCAAGCGATTACTGGGTATACCTAGTGTGAGTGTTTACACTGCAAAATGAAACTCAGCTGTCATATGTTTGCTACCTGCTTAATTTACTAAGCTCTGCTTAAATTTAAATTTTGCTGAAAGTTCTGCCTTTAGGTTATGAAAATGAAGATGTGGTCTCATAGAGCTTAGGTTTTATTTTCGTAATGCTTTTAAAATTCCCTCATTTTAAATAGTAAATATCTTTTTTATTGCAAAAACCTAAACATAATATTTCTTCCATAAAATTGTGATTGCCCTTTGATCCAGCATGTCTGGACTGTATCTTACAGATTTCCCCCGACCCTAGAATCATCGTTTACTATGTATCTTTCTTTGTGTGTATTTTCTTTTACGTTTCATCTAGCTAACTCATTCTACATCTTTCATCTTAACTACATGTTGCTTACTGAGAGTTTTCTGTATTAACTACCTACTTAGAATCTATGCCATAAGATCTTCAAATTAGAATCTATACTATACTTTACCAGAGTAGCTGATACTTCATAGACTTTGTAATTAATCACATTTGTGGCATTAGCCTTCATGCCCCAAAGTTCCTGTGCCCTTCTGTAACCACCCTCAGTTTGTCCCCACAACTACTCCCCCTCCTATATATTTTCTGTCATTATAGATTAGTTTGCATTTTGTTTTATACTTGGAATTAGACAGTTTGTATTTTTTTCGGGGGGGGGGTGGGCGGCGGGTGGTCTGGCATTTTTACTCAACATAATTATTTTGCATTCGTCATTGTTGCATGAGAGATACTGAAATCTTTTGACTGTAGTTCCATG